CTGTGCCCCAGCCTGAAGTCAGACATAAGATGTTTATTGGAGTTTGAATTCTCACAAGGAAAGTGTATTCCGTTTTCTTCTTTCCTGGAAGGAGGATTATCTGGTCTAGAATTCTTTCCTGGAGTTCCTGGAAGGTCTGATTGTCCATTTATCGTAAGAAAAAGGTTTGTGTATTTACCTGTCTGTTTTTCGGATAAGACATTCCTGGCAAACATTGTCTTAGGTTTTACTGGAAAAGGGGTTTGTTACAAAACACAGAATTCTATCATTAATTTTTACTACAGAAAAAAATACAGAAGGTTATGGTTACAGAGAAATTACAAGCATTCAAGTAATTTATTAAACTCTGACGTTCCTAATTTATTACAGACAGATTTTTATGAGTTCCTAAGATGGTATAAAGTAGTCACAAAATCCCATGGAAGAGGCAGCCAAATATTTGCCTTGTTAGAGATAAACATTCACCATCTGTCCACCTTTCACAGAGCAAGAAGTCTGAGATAAAAAGCACACCAGGGTCTCACAGCCTCTTCCAGATCTGCAGCTGCCACTGTAAGCCTGTGGTTCCATGGGTCTATTTTTCAGTAGCACTGCCAACATAACCATTTTATCCCATGTTTTTAATTTCTGGTGTTACTTTCCAGCCCCCGTAGAAAATTTAAGGTTTACAGGCATACCTGATGGGACTGTATCGCTGTGGGAAGGAAGACCTAAGAGATGAGGGAGCTGCCTCCACCAGCACAGTTCACCAGGAGAAATGTCCTTGAAAACACAGCCTAAGGGATGATAAGATCTTCCTTCCATCCCCTTTTGACTACCATGAGCAGTGTGGAAGCACTGTCAACCCTTGCTTCCCTCTGTGCCCAGCTGTTTCTCTTTTCTCACATTCCTCCACACCTGGCTGAATCCAGACAGTATGTTTAAACACAGTGAGAATTCAGAACCCTTAAGAACACAGGGAGTGACAAGCACAACTCTTGTAGCAGATGCCATATCCGTGAAGAAAGAAGAGGTGAAATTAAAACCACGCCCAATTCAAAATTTCTGTTGCACTGAAGCAGTGCAGGGTTGAGCTAGTTTGTAGGAAAATGTACAGTTCAACTTTTTCTGTTTAGGTTAATTCTGCCTTGCAAATTAATTTCAAAACTTTACTGGTAATAAAATTCTTATCCAGACATATAGTAGACTGGTGAAATAATACTAATCCCCATCTCATTGTCTGTCATTATTGAAGAATGGCTGACTTGTAATGACTACTTTGGAAAACAGTTCTGAACCCTGCCTTTTCTGCCACATCCAGATTGTGCTCTCCTATATGAAAAGCCAGCACAAAGAACCCTCCAAAGCAGTGGCATCCAGTATTG